ATTTGTAATAAAACCGCAGGGTACATCTTACCAAACATTTTAAGTTTTGCAAATGATTAAGAGGAATTCTCTCCCACACAAAACAGCAATTTTTAGATGGGTCAAGCATTTTAAGGAATGCTGAGAAAACCTCAAAGATGATGTAAGAGAGGGAAGATTGTCAACCTAAAGGAATGAAGAAATTGTGGCTGGAGTTAGGAAACTATTGGAAGAAGACTGCCAAATTACCATCGTTGCAATAGCTACTGAAGTTGGGATCTCACAAGGCTCAGCATTTTCAATTTTAAGCAAACATGCTAGCCTTAGCAAGCTTTTGTCTTGATGAATGCCATGATATAGCTACTTGCTTAATATGAGCCTTCTAGCCATAGACTTCTATTTTGTGATGTATTATAAATTCTAGCCTCTACATCTATGTGTTTAGTTCTTTTGTGGTGAGTTATCTGTTAATACTAAGGAGACAGGATTAAGGTGGAATAGATCTTGAGTCCTCAACTTATTAGAGGCTGTGACCCAAGTACCTGCCCTTTGTTTCCTTGTAGATGTGGTTTGCAGATTGGTCATTGTGTTTGATATCTGTGCTAAGAAAATAGCTGTTATCGGATTTAAGCTGTCCCATGAATAAGGGAACCTTCAGCTGCCAGCTTCATTAAGAAAAGCAGGGTGCTTGGGTCATGGGACTGGTTGAAACTAGACCTAGCCTGCCTAAAGATGCACAGAAGTGACCATGTCCTCCACCGCACTTTTTGATGTCAGAAGACAAAAACCATGATAGTTGGGTGGGGGGTGATAGCTGTATGTTTTATCAGCGCTATACTGTACCCTGACTGACTTGTCTCCTCCCCAAGTCCCTTCTGTAAAGCGATATCTAGTTGCCTACAGATGGGCTTTGGGTCTCCACTCTGCACACACCCCCATTCACAATGATATGATTTTTTGTTCTTTGATACCTGATCCTATTGACACCTCATGATCACACAGGCTGGTGTGCTTCTTCCATGTGGGCTTTGTTGCTTCTGAGCTAGATGGCCGCTTGTTTACCTTCAAGCCTTTAAGACCCCAGACACTATATCTTTTGATAGCCAGGTACCATCATCTTTCTTCACCACATTTGCTTATGGACCTGCTTTGTCTTCAGCGATCGCATTGGGAAGGTGAGCATCATGGAATGCCTGGGTAATAGAACAAAGTGTTCTTGCATTGAGGGAGCACTTGATGGCCCTACATCTTGACTGAGCATTTGCAGAAGACTAATGATGAGTCACCAGTGATAAACACCAATTAGAAGCCACTTGCCTCCTAAAATAACCACTGATCTAGGACTTGAGTACTCATCCTTACCCGAGCATAGCAATTTTGAAAAAGTTCACTCTCTTGCTCTGGACCCTGATTCTGATTACCCTCTGCATGTCCTCAAAGTTTTGAGACTTGAGCCTGCAGCCTACTGCCTGATCTAATTCACCAGTTTCTGCAGCCTTATGAGTTATCCACTCATTTTTGAGTGAATGAGGAGACTCTTCCAGACATGTGAACTTTGGAATTAGAATTTACCAGCCTCCACAACAGCAGCATCTATCTTTGTGAATCTGGTTCAGAGTTCTGTGAAACATCGCCGTGAATTGCAAACCCAGGGACATGAGGGAGGAAATTGAGGGGCAGGACTACCGTTTTATGTTTGTGGTATCGTGTTATGTCTGGTACAGTAAAGAGGCAGCGAAAAAGAGGAAGGCCCTCAATGAGATGGATCGATACAGTGGCTGCAACACTGGGGCTCAAACGGGGAAAGTTGGCTCCAGGCCAGTCGGTGCTTCTTTCTGTTGTGCATAAGGTTGCTGTGGGTCGGAACGAACTCCAAGGCCCCTAACAACAACAACAGCAATAGTCATTTCTGGAAAGTCAGACACTGGGCACACGTCTGTAAGTTCCACCTCATTGGGACCCTTTCAAACGAATTATTGTGGCAGGGGCCAATGGCATTGAATGAAGATAAAACAGCAAATCTTCCCATCAGCCCTTTAAGCAAGAACAAAGCTACTGAAGGCAATGGAATAAACTGTAACTGAGGATATGTCTTGAATTTACCAATACAATCCAGAAAGCATCACCCAGCTAAAGCAGTGGCTTCTGAGAGAATCAACTGGGCCAACTGCTTTTTAAAATTCCCACGGGGTAAGTTTGACACATTTTCTCCAAGAAAACAAGAACGTCACTTGGTCTTACTATTAAGGTTAAAGAAAATGGAAAACTGCCTTGACAAGAAAAAGGCCAGTAAAATTGTGCAAAGGATTTTTTCCCCCTCTCTTGACAGCGCACCTGCTCGTTCTTTTATGGGAATGGAGCCATCCTAAGAGAATTCTGCTGGGCGATCTTACCCCATCAGTCCCACAGCCCTGCTCTTGTCCCCTTCAGACTTCTTTTTTTGTTCTCCAAAATCAAAAAAGTATGGAAAAGGAGCCCCATTTGAGTGTTTGGACATGATGTAAGTTAAAGGCTGCAGAAGTCTTTGGGGAAGAGTGAGGGAAAGGGAAGCACTGAGTGTACAGGCTCACCCAGAAAATGTGCTGAGAAACTCCAGCCTCACCTTTGGAGACACCTGTGTAAGAGAGGTTCCTCTCGTTTTGTAGCAGTCCTTGACTCCTGCCTCTACCACTTGCTGCTGTTGTGTGCCCTCTGATGCACAGCAATCCCACGTGTCCATGTGAGTCGGTGATCCATATGCTTTTCAGTGATTGGTTTTTCAGAAGTATAGAATCAGACCTCTTCCAACCATTAGGATAGCAGTTGAGGGATTTGTCATCTGTGTTACTCAAGGACCAATATGAATTATGGTTGGAAATTGCTAGTATTTTTCAGTTTGCATTCCTTTTTAGTATGGTGATTCACATGTGTTTGGTAACATCTGCCCTTGTGGATAACTTTGTTTTAATTTTCAAAAGGCTTCTTTAATAAATTATGTTCTAATCTTTTAACTCCTATTTAGGGTTTTCATTGACCTTTACTTTTATCTAAGTGCCATCATTCTGATTGTTCAAATGCCCACAAATGGAAGGATAATGGATTTTAAAAACAAAGCAGATTTATAAAGCAGCACGCTACAGTAATGTAGTTATGTGTATATGTGAAGTATCTAAACATACACTTGCATATACAAAGCCAGCACCTGTGTAAATGGGAGCATGTCAAATAAGGAAAATTCAAATGTTTTTCATCAATAGAGAGCAATAGACAAGTGGTTAAGACAATACTTGGAAAGGCAGAAAACTAGCAAGACCCCGTAAAACAAGGCCATCCCAGAGTTTCTGTTCTTATACGTTTCCTGGATATACCAGCAGATACCTCCTCATTCCCACTGCTTTTTCAACTCTGCCATTTTTTTAGCACATGATGTTATAAATGAATGCACCTCTCAATCTCTCTTAAAGACATGATATCTTCCTTTGTTTTATTCATGAATAAAGACGTATGCCCGCAAAATTTGATTTTTGCTCATAGATTCTGCTTCCAACTCACCTACCAAACTGCCAACTGTTAGATTTAGAGAGTCCACTGGGTGGCACTAGATACCTTTGGTCAAAGTCCATAACCTAGGCGGGGGCATTGGCAAAGATTAAACATTGAAAGCATTCTGAAAGACATCCGGTTTCGGTCTTGAGGGTCAGCTGATGGCCAGAACACATTTGAAACTCTAATGACACACTGAAGAATTGACCTAAAGACCAGGCAGACATTATATACTGCCTATGGTGGAACATAATTCTTCCAGGGGCAAGTCTACATCTGCTCCTTTGAACATCCTTCATTACTAGTATTCCATCACCTGAAACATATTTCTTTCTGTACTCCACATGCCCCCTCTCTATTCTCTCTCATATGCAAATGAACACATATAGGAATGAAATGTCTTTCATGGGTTTTTCCCTATAAAGACTCATGATAACATTTCTATTACTTCATATTTTATAAAACATTATAAAACACTTGACTGCCTTCTTTTTATAAGTTCCCAAATTTCAACAGTTAGCATATCCCACAAATAGGAATAACACTTGATAGATTAAGTCTCAACTCAGATCACAAAAATCTTAAGGCTCATCACAAAGAGATCTGTTTCCATCTATTAGCAACTTATAATAGATTGGAAGCCTTCATCATAGTCTTTTACATTCAGGCCATTTCAAAGGGCAACACCCAGGGATGGATCTTGATTAGATTTTCAGCAAACAAATAAGCCTCAGAAACGCCTGCAGAGAGCCAGCTGGGAAGCTCCAGTGACTTAAGACTTTTTGTGATATCCATTAATATGTCTTTCTGTTCCGCTAAAAAATCTCTGGGAGGTGATTTAATAAAATGTGTGTGCTGAGTCGAATGTTTCACAGCCCACAGACAAATGTAAATGATTGATTTGCTTCCTTCCGAAACATTTTTTCTACAGACACAAAAGAATTTCACCCCCGACAGTAAGTGTATGTGACCATAACATAACAGCAACCTCCAGGCCTATAAGCTACTTTTAACAGTGAGTGTTCAAAACCAAAAGCACATGGTACACGACAGTGCTAAGCGACAATGGTCCAATAACATACAAATTGATTCTGTGTGTCAGAATGTTTTATGTGTGAAACACCCCAAAGATTAAAAAGTACAATTCCATGCCTTCCTATGTGTGTGTTTTTCCAAAAGTAGCAGTCTTGCTAAATCCCACTTTTCTAAGAATTTGAAGGGAAGATAGATTTTTAAATAGAGCTAGAAAATTGAGAACGCCCTCTTGTCCCAGGCTAGCTCCAGTAATGAAGGTAGGAGCTAGCCTGCACAACAGGTCAATTTTGGAGCAAGCCTAAGAGCTGATGGTCTATTCTGCAGAAGTCCCCAACATTCAAGCAGATTATGTGCAAACTGATGAATGAGGATCCCAGTCCTCGACTGTGAAAAGAACACTGCTCAGGGCCAACAATGTCCCTCATTCCCTTGATTTCCAATTAAAACCCAAACAATGTGTGGACTAGACTCAGAAACTGTTTTATTAAATTGAACACAAAATGCTTATTACAGTAACATCAAGCCTTTATCAGAAATCAGTACAGAAGTGAAGATACACAGCCAACATGAGCCATCAACATAAGCAGTAAATTTTAAATAACTTTCTAATTTTTATATTCAATATGCTAAAAGAAAAAGAAAACTCAAAGAAGCAGTTTCGATTTCACAATTCACAGTTGATTGGTTTGAATCTCACGACACTTTTTGTCATTTCTACAGACCCAGAACCCAAGCAGTTTTCCACAGTGGTGACTGGCAGTTGGCCCCAGTAGCACACATAGATCTTATACCCCTGGGAGACAGGTCGGAAAAATTTTAGGAAAACACCAATTTCATCCAGGCTGGCATCCTAGTCATTTATTTTCGCCATCTACTTCACCGGAGAAGCTGTTCCGAAGAAACAGCCAAGGCAGCTTAATAACTATGGCATGCTTTTAAAGGAGGGCTCTAAAATCTCCCTGGGTTTCCCACAATCGTATTCTCCAATTTAAAGCAGCAACTGCACTAAAAGCAACCTTAACAGGGAAAGCAAAGTCAGTTTTGTTTGTGGATCTAGAGTATACATCCAGGAGAGGCAATGAATGCATTGTTCTAGCACACACAGGGAAAGCTTGAGAGAAGAGCCTGGCATCCTGAAGTAAGGCATCTCAAAGCAGACACCATCCCCAAATGGAATGGCTATGGCCAAAGATATCACCAGGTGCACACCAATTAATGCGGGGTCAACATGACATTCTTTCAGAACGACACACCGATTGAAAAATCACACAGAGGTACCCACATATCAGGAAAAGCAAAACAGTGACCAGCCACGCTGAAAGACAGTTTTGCTCTTGTAAATGTCAGGTTTGCAGACTAGAAATAAACTGCTTTCTATGTGCTTTGCCCTAGGTTACTGGCATCCATCGTCACCCATGGGGTTACTTCTCCTTAAAAAAATATATCATGTAAAGAGTACATAATGTAATCAGTGATAAGAGAACAGTTGTTTTCACTAGTGAGGGGGTCACTTAAGCACTTACATAGAAAGTTATAAGTGATTCATGAAGGTCATTTACATGTGAACAGAAACCTGACCAAACCTGCATTATGCATGGCTATTCCACAGTGCAATGACATTTTTAGCAATTGAGTTAGGTGCAATTAGGGAATATTTTAATTATGAGAAAATCTTTAAGTTTAAAGAGCCATGATCTATCTAAAAACAAAAATCTAATTAGCAAAAATACATGTTGTCCTCTTATGGGTCCAAAGGAAGTGTTCCATGATTTCAGTTATCAAACATATCAAAGACGATGCGTTAGGAGCGTTTAAATTTCAATTCTCACGTATCCGCTGAATCATCAGGACCTGCAGCAAGCCACTGAGGTTCTGCAGATTGGGTCCACAGAAAGTGAACATAAAAGTTAGAGCACAGCTATGTTTTAACCTCTGGATCATACTAAAGCTAAAGAAGGTCACTAAGGCTCACAACTCCAACAACTCATTATACAGTACAATCATTTGTGATCCTGCTAATTATGGCCAAGGAGGAATAGGTGATAAACATTTTCAAGAATTCACAGACTTTATATAAATTAATAGTTCTGACTTTCGAAACTCCATTTGCCACGTGTTTTTAAAAACGCTAAGCACATCGAGGGTTGACCATTTTCTTTACTGGTCCCTCTTGCCCAGTAGAACAGCTAAGGAACAGCTAAGAGAGCAGCACTCAATTAAAATGAGCTATAAACTCTTAATCAATCCCAATAAGTAATTTGCAACTGTGTTGTTTTTTTTAAAGAATCTGCCTAGTTCATCGAAACTACAACTTCAGAAGAGGAGGTAACGAAAAAATTCTAATCTTGAAACTTTTAAAAGTATGACAATTAAGCAGACTACATAACGCCACTTTGAAAAGGTATTGTTTTTCCCTCGAAGCAAAAACAGAAACTGGAAGACTTGAGTCCACAGAAGATTAATATGCTAATAGGCTCAGGTGATCGACATCATCATACTGTTTTCAAAATGATCTTAGTAGTTACACAAATATTAAACCTCATTAATGACACCATGCTGAAGTATTTAAGGAGAATTCACAATGAAAGGGTTGATGTTTGTTGTTTTAAAACAATGGACTAATGGGTGATTATAAGGATGGATAGAAAATCCAAGTATAGCAGATATAAGTGGTAGAAATTATATGGTGAGTAAATTGTAAACATTTTCCAACTCAGAGGTATGTTGAAATTTTTCATAAGAGAATGTCAACATTCCCATAGTGAAATTAATTTAGCATTATGTTTTAAAGGTTCAAAGTACTCAAATTAGCCTTGTAAATTAATTGAAATTGGCCAATTTTTTTCTCTAAAAGACCTTATTTCTGAAGGTGCCTTTAACCTTTTCATGACCTGTGGAACATATACCCCCCACTAACATTTCAGCCACTCAGGTGTTTAGAAAGCTGCTACCCTAACTGCAGTATTGCTATTGTCGGGCAGGGAAGCCGTGTAACTGCATGAAGCTGGAAAAGGGGGCTTGCCCCACCAATCTTCTACCACTAGTCTCTACTTGGGACAAATGTGTCTCCCAAAGTCAGTATCTACATGACCTCAACATTAATTTTCCTTTTAATTTCAGCATGCCTTTTGTAATTGAAAACCTGCTATCAGCAACAACAAAAAAAGAAAGCAGACAAAAATTTGATCCTAAAAGGATTAAGTGTAGAAATGAACTAATGTAATTTATGTCATTAAATAGTCTCTTCACAGATTTTATTTGCAAATGCATAATTCTTGCCTCTCTGCAGAACCTACATCCTTTTAAAAGACCCATGGCATAGAGTTTTTCCAAGCAACGGTATCAAGCTCTCCCCAGTCCAGCATATTACCACTCACTACATATAAGTGCAACACAGAACAAAGTAAAAAATAATCTATGATTGTTGGCAGCCTGAGACAACTGGGTTCATTTACAGGGGGTATGGGTTCCTGATCAATAAGTATAACCGCTTTACTCAATATAAAATTGAGACTGTATTTAAATAAACAAGGTTAGAACACATAATTCACAAAGACCTTTGCTGTTCCAAGCTCTTGTTTTATGAACTGTGACTAACGAATGGCAAAACTCTGTCATGTCTACTCTCTGTGAAATGCTAACACTTGCGAAAGGCACTCATGTTCTGGGCTTAACGGAGACAAGGTCACATGGGACCACAAGCCAGTACTTTTTTTGGTATCTACCCAGACAGGGGGTTTGCAAATGGTTACCCCCCCACCCCACCCCCATTTGTAATGGGCAGAATAAGTCAAAGAGCAATCAGTAGAAATGTCTTATGAGAAGCTATTTACACAACTATTTGTTCATTCAGCTGGACAGATAGCAAGAGCTCACAATGGTGGAGTTCCCCCAACAAAATATTTTTAACTATATATTAAACTCCTGAACAATGATTTGACTGATAAAAAAAATATTTAAGATATTTTGTTCCAAAGCCTCCACATGAAACATTTGCCTATACTGACAGAACATTCCTCAATTTACTTCCAAAGAAGTGCTATTGTCCTTCCTATGTGTGTCCCCAGGTTGTAACTTTGAGGAAACAAAATAGATGAGGTTCCAAATCCACAATTCCGGGGCCTCTTTGCTGAGAATACTATGCAAAACAGTTCTGTGTCTTCCCAAACATAAGCAAGACTCATCTGACATAGGTCACGAGGCAGTCCTCACACTATCACTGCTTCTAGTCTCAGTCAATTCAGGAGTGAAGTGGACATGAATTCCACCACTGCCCTTAGAACAGAGGAAGATTTAACTATACCTATATATGTCCTTCTAGTCTTGTTCAATACTGTAAAGTTATCTCTAAGCAAGTATACAATATGAGTTCAGTAGAACAATTAGTAAAACTTAGGGGAGATGGTGCTATGCTTCCCTTTAGCTATTTAAGTTAAAGGAACATAGGAATGAAATCAGATGGCCATGATTCTTCATTCAGAGTTTCAATCACTCTAAATTTACTAACTAACAAGGGAGAATTTGGGGGAAGAGTTAGGGGAGGAACTTTTTCAAAATGAATCCTATAAAACACTATTCACCTTACAGAATTCAGTGCAATAAGAGACAAGCAGACAAACGTGGTAAAGAACATGCACTTATTTACAAGTTGCAGCACATGACATACAAAGACAAGACCAGCAAAGTATTTTCTCTTCAGTGTTGAGTCAAAAGGATTATATGGAACATTCAGATTTGTAACTTAAAAACAACAACAAAAAACACTTTGAAGACATGTGCAATCCAATTTTTTAATTGGAATATAGAATTTTTCCCTTACAACCTCTCGGCCTGACTACCTTATAAGAGTTTCTGCAATCTTCCAACAGTGATTTTGAATGACAATTTACACAAAGATAGTGACAGAGAAAAGAGATTTGGATGCTATGAGTTTGTCTTTAAATGATTATTTGAAATATTTGCTGTTTCTGACTAAAAGTTTTCTAGTGTTCAGGCCTCTGTCCATCCAAGTATAAAGCATATGAAAAGATACTAACACCATTCCCAGGGAGCACGGGTTGCAAATCCTAAAGCACGTTACAAATCTGCCTGGATGTCACAAAAACCAACGGAGACCACGGATCACTGACTGCAGTAGCCATAATCACCTGCTTAATGGGGAGAAAATACACTACCTATCAGGAATGCATGAGTATGAGATAGCGTACCATGCAGAGATGCTTCATCTAGGCATCTTCTGCCTGGCAACTTCTTTCATCTTCTGTTTAAGCTACGGAACATAAGACGATAGTGCAAGGGACCAAGCCCAAAACACAACTGTCACAAAGATCTGTGATTTTTGTCTGTTTGTTTTAGATGTGCATGTAACTTCCACAGGTGATCATGGAGGGTACTGATGTACCTTTTAGAGTTTCCAAATGAGAGGGCAAACTGAGTTATTGTAGGCAATATGGCATCTAAAGTGTCATATAAAACAAACATCGCTCTTTTTTAGTGCAAAAAAATCCCCTAACAAGTAAGAAATCACACTATAAATCTAACTTCTTTCTTTAAAAGAAAATGCACTTAAGCATTCATAACATCCATTAAGGGCACTGGGAAACCTGAATACACGAGGCCTGGGGGAAAAAATCAAGCCCTCCAGACCAACTGATTTTGTATGCATATAATAAGACCATTCCATGCAGAAAATAGGGAGGAGTGGCGAAGCCTGTCCATTAACTTTATTTGCAAGGGGAAAACAAAGTGAGACAAATGCCACTTTTGTAGAACATAAACTCAAAACCACAATCTTTTCTGTTTCTGGAAAAAAGTAAGGAGTCAACACAATTCTCTTGGGATATCATATATATGTCTAACTATCTATATGTGTAAAGACAGAAAATGAACATTTTAAATAATCATAGAAATAAGTGGCCAGCACTATACTATTAAAACTACTCAAAATTATACTTAACAGCACAAGTAACCTACTGAGCAATCAGATAACCCCTAATCTGCCATAAACTAATTAGCTGTACTTTGTAGCTACTTTGAAAATAAAGCAAAGCAAAAAGCTGTTCTTTTTGTTTTATTTTTGTTTTTACCCCCTCGAGGACTCTTATTTTACTAGGAGTCACAGGTTCAGAACAACTCTACATAGCACTGTGTTTCGTTATTCAGTACCTGGGAGAAAAACATCTTTCCAGGAAGAATTGGACTTTTTACTACACTACCACTTCAGCAGAAAACCCCAACCTGATACTCTACCAGAGGTTAATAGCCAAAGTCATTTTTAAATATGGGTCCAAATTGTTCCAATGTATGAGAAAGGATATGATTATAATTTTTGTCCTCCCTACTTATTTACCTATAACATGATCAGAAAAAAACTGATATTTTATTTTTACTGAGTAATACGAGCAATCAAATGTGGATTTACTGTAGTGAAAGATAATGCTCAAAATAAATTTCCTGATGACTCTGGTCTGCCAAGAGAAGTATGGACAAGCACCAATCTCAGCCAGGTGAAATACAATATAATAACTAGACAGAACACAGTCCAGTCCAATGGTCAATCTAGACACATTCTACAGCCTGCTTTTAAAGAAAAAATAAAAATATGCCAAAGTCCTCTATAATATATTTTCAGTATCTTCACTAAATCCTTTGAAGATTTCTTTTATTATAAAGAATAAAACTACTCCTAAAACCAGCTCCTATACTTTATTCTGGAAAGGATGATGCTGAAATTTGATTAAGTTTTTGGAATGTTTAAATCCCATCGTAGTAGTTATATTTTCAGAATAGCCACTACATGGTAGAAAAGAAAAGCTTTTAAGTGTAAGGATCATCGTAACTTAAAAATCTGCCAAAATGAAGTATCAAGAGGAGATGTGAACTTACAGTGAAACCCATCCGACAGAGTACGCATGTCACCAGTAACAGAGAAATCACTGTCAGTCAAAAACGCAAATGCATCTGAGCATTTCCAAAAACCAGACAGCAAACAGATGCTTTAAAAAAAATCATATCCATTTTATACTCATGAGAGATTCAAAAGTGGGGGGTGGAAACCCCACAGCATGGCTGTGGCGAGAAATAAGTTTAATGGACTGACTGATTTCATCAAGTGAAGAGGTAAAAAAACAATGAAGAGGGGGAAAAGGTTGCATTTAAATGTGTGAAATCCACACCTGGAAATGGAGCTGAGCTTTTGGGAAGAAAATACACATGAAAAGCATTTGGGTTCTAGAAGCCCTGCATGTCAAGAGCTGAGAACACAGGTAAAGGGGGAAGTAGCCAGTGAACGACTAATGACCTTCCAGCAGGCTCTCCTACTGAGGACGTGCCGAGACGGTTCCTCTGAACCCTGGGGACACGCAAAGCTCTGCTTACGTAGATCCACTGTCACACGGAGTAAAAGCCCAATAAAGGTCTTTACTTGAAAACTTAAATCTAAAAACATATTGGAAGATGAAACTTCTAAACTGTTATAGCTCGACATGGTCAGCTACCAGAACTTGGTCACGGAAAACAGGTATTTCCGATGGGACTGTCAGGTCACATGCTGAGCAAGAGCTCAACTCAACGGTACTGGAGAAGCATGATGACCTAGGAAGCACATTCTTTTCCTCCCCCCAGTTTTGACATCTTGTGGTACCACTGCAGGCTACACAAATTCACGTGAAGCAGAGGGATGTACTCAGATCAAAAGGACCACAAAGCAAGGCAGGTTGACAGAAGGTAAACAACAGGCAGGTCAAGCTGCTTGATCAGAGCATGACAATCACTATACGTATCCCAGGTTCTCCATCTCATTCCGGTACCGCTGTTCAGACACCTTGCTTTTATGCTGTTTGCTCTCTAAATGCTGCCGGAATTCCATCTCTTCGCCAGCCCCAACATTACACATCGAGCAGTAAAACTGGCCGCTGGGAGTAACACACATGGCCAGATCACGTGGAATTCTTTGCCGAGAGCGGGGGTTGAAGTACGGACCTGCCAAGGCAAGAGAGAAAAGGGATGTATACATTCACTTCAAACCAGTCCCTTAAGCACACAGTGGGCTGGACCAGTTACCGTCGTAATCTATAATTCAATTATCCGCTTTAATGGCTCATTCGAAACCCACAGATGCCAGCTTTAAATGGACACGAGTGAATTTTCATCAGAACTTTAAGGAGGTTCAATCTAAAAGGTCAAAATGAATCCTCCAACATCACTGTCAGCAAAGAGACTTTAAGATAAACCCAGACTCTTGATGCCCATGAATCTTAAACAGGAACGCATGGTTTCAACTATGGTGATCCGCTACCCCCAAGTCTCTCTCTAAAGTTATCCCAAAGAAATATTGAGCGCTTCAGCACAGAGGGTGACTAGCAAGGATCTCAATTTCAGAAAGAACCATTATAGAAAAAATGTGGAGGGTGGAAAGTGGTGGGAGAGAATAGGGTTATATAAAATATGATAGTGAATGCAACAGGAAACAGTTATGAAAACTAATGCTATTGAAAAGTCTTCAATTCCATGGAAATCTGATTGCAAACATGCTATTTAATACAATAAGCCTATCAAAACACATTTCCATTTATATTACCAAGAAATACGATACCTCTAATGAGATTGGAAGGATATATACAAAAATATTCGAATTCTGGATAACATTATTTTCTTTTTACATAAATGACTTCATAAAGTGAGCCTCAAGAGAATTAATTTTCTGCTTTGCTAATACAGCAGTAAGTATTGAATATTAAAATTGCTCACCATATTGTTTCTTGTGCATCCTAGAAGTCTGATGCAGTATTTTTATTACTGTTCAGTTCAGAGAGTTTTTCATTTTCAATATGGTTTCTTCTATGACTTATGAGTTATCTCAAAGGGTTTGAGATTTCCAAACAAACCGGATATCTTGTTGATGTTTCCTGTTTTTACTACAGATGTCTCCTTTAACTCAACTCAAACAACTTGGTCTATACCAGTGGTTCTCTACCTTCCTAATGTCGCTTTATTACAGCTCCTTTATTACAGCCCTTTATTACAGCTCCTCATGTTATGGTGCCCCCCAACCATAAAACTACTTTTGTTGATACTTCATAACTGTCATTTTGCTACCATTATAAATCAGGCAAACCCTGTTCAACCCCCAAAGGGGTCGTGACACACAGATTGAGAACTGCTGGTCTATACGCTTCAATAATTTGAGATTTGTTGAAACTTGCTTTATGCCTACTACAGTTTTTGTACATGTACCACATATACTTACATATCTGGCTATGTGCTATTGGGCACACTAGTCTATTATGAGTAAATACAAAAGGGCTCAAAAAGTTCATAGAAAAACTTCCTGTATCTTTTCATTCCATTTTTCCATGAATTTTTTGATGCTCCCTAATATATTTGTAATTTTTGTTAATTGTATTATTCATAACATCGCCATTTTTTTTAACTTGGTCCATAATAATCAATAGAGATCTCGAAATTTCCCAACTTGATGATAGATTTGTCAACATAATCCTACAGCTCTATTAATTTTTGCTTTATAACATTAAAACCTTTTTTTTCTTTAAATTTGGAACATACATTTTAAAATTGTTACTTGTATCTTCCCCTCTCTGCTCTTAAACAGTGCCGTCTATCCTAATGTGATATTAGCCAGCTCTCCCAACCTCCTTCATTTTATCTGAATTTCTTTTAGCCAATCTGAAAATCTGTCTTTTAATTGGGACTTTAATAAATTCATATTTATTAACTGTGAATTATAAATTATAATTATCGATATTTTTTAGACTTCTTCTTAATTATATTGTGTTTTCTATAGTCAGCACACATGCATCCTTTTCTTTTTTAATGCTTCTCATGCCTTTTCACATCACTTTTTTTATTTCTTTGCTTTACTTTTCACATACATAGCATCCATTGGTGTGTGCTTGTACTTGAGGGGGGCAGACAAGAAGTGAACCTGTAAATCTGTAGGAGGAGAACTGCTCAATCCTCCTGCAAACAACCAGAAAAGTGCAGAAAACATACCCCTGAACTCATGAATGCGAACGGTTGAGACATACAGGGTCAACGAGGAAGCATTTTAAAACACACATATGATACCAAAGGCTCACGTAGAAAGCAAATGTTTAGAGAATGATGAGGGCAACAACTGTACACATGTGCTTGACACACAATGGATGGATGGATGGATGGATTGTGATGAGTTGTATGAGTCCCCAATAAAATGATTTTTCAAAAAACATGCATATATCTGAGGCCCAGTTCAGGCATGCATATGTTGAAAAAAAACTCCCCAGGTGATTCCTAGTTGCCTTAGTTAAAAAACATGTTACAATTATCTGTACCCAAGCCACCGCCACCACAACCCTGGCCCCGTGAGAATTTAACGTGGTCCAACTTTAAGCAGAATATCCCCTCCTTTCAAAGCATTATGTATGTTTCATCTGGCAAATACCAGAACAAACAAAGGGACAGTGATAAGGAACCCTAAAACAGAGAGTATCGTTTTTCAGCCAAACGACGTAAACAATATACCAAATAGGAGGCTGGAAAGGAACACCAGGCTAAAAAGTAACTGGGCCAACCTCAACAAAACAATGACTAAGCCCAAACTCTCATGGCTATCTGTTACCATCATAGGAAAGAAAAATAAAAGAGACCCTGTACAGCACGGAGCCAGGGACGGGGAACAACACAGGATACCTGAATTGTTCTGTACTGTATATGTATTTCTCCTATTAGACATCATCTTATATTCATTTCCTTCTTTCCGGGCTCTTCGCTGACCCACCTCCGAGGCATCCCTAAAGAAAAAGAATTTTAAAAGAATGAGACTTTTAAACAAAGATCCCTTTCCACTCTTTCCCTTTAAAGACAGTCGGGCTCACACAACACGTTGGCCTCAGAGAAAACTGCAATACCTACGAGAATGAGTTAGTCTGAGCTTCTGCCAGCCGGAGCCTCTTGGCATGATTCTTCCCCTGATAGTGCGCCTGGGCCACCGCCGGAGAACTAAAGGAGGCATCACAAAGCTTACAGTAATCCTTCTCTGTGGCCAGGATCACTCGGCCTCCCGGCTTAAAGGAGCCCATCTGACATCAAAGACACAAGCAGAAACAGAGTTTAAAAATGTGGAGCTATGTCCCCCCGCTCCTCCTCAAAGTTCCTTCTCAGAGCTGAAAAATAATCACAGAATATGGCATAACCGCAAACACACAGTTTTCTAAGCAAAGGAAATAATTCCCTGAGAGGCACTTAATTATGGATTTGCATTATAATCACCATGTACTAGCAAATGGTGAAGGTTTTGACTGCCGTTGCCATGAAGGAAATGAGAAAGTGAGTTTTAATTTTTTTTTTTTAAACATTTTATTAGGGGCTCATACAACTGTTATCCCAATCCATACACACATCAATTGTGTAAAGCGTATTTGTACATCATTTCTCAAAACATTTTCTCTCCATTTAAACCCCCGACATTAGGTCCTCATTTTTCCCCTCCCTCCCCGCTCCCCTCTCCCACATGAGCCCTTGATAGTTTATAAATGGGTATTTTGTCATATCTTGCCCTGTCCGACTTCTCCCTTCACCCACTTTTCGGTTGTCTGTCCCCCAGGGAGGAGGTCACACACAGTTCCATGTAATCGGTTCCCTCTTTCCTACCCATTCTCCCTTTACCCTCCCTGTTTTGCCACTCACACCACTGGTCCTATAGGGCTCATCCATCCTGGATTCCCTGTATTTTCAGTTCCTATCTGTACCAGTGTACCTCCTCTGGTCTAGCCAGTCTTGCAAGATAGAATTCGAGTCATGGTAGTGGGAGCGGGGAGGAAACCTTTAGGAACTAGAGGAAGGTTGTATTTCTCATCATAGAAAGTGAGTTTTAAAACCCCATCATAGAAGATTAAGGATAGTGGACATAATGCGTACGATAATATCACTAGAATGAATAAAAATGGTAAAATATTGTAAAGCAAACTTACTGCCATTGAGCCATTCTGACTTGTAGTGATGCGACAGGGCACAGTAGAATCACCCCTGCGAGTTTGAGACCATGAACTTTGACAAGGGTAGAACACCTCAGCTTTCTCCTGCAGAGCAACTCGTGGGTTCGAATTGGTGACCTTGTGGTTCACAGCTCAGTGTGTATCCCACTGTGCCACCAGGAGCTTCTTGAAACGGTAAAATCACCCCCCAAGGCATGGACAAACATGTACTGAACATCTACATTATTAAGCTTGTTCCCTAGTCCAGAGGAGCCCTGGTGGCCTAGCGGTTATGAGCGGGGCTTCTAACCGGCAAAGTCAGCAGTTGGAAATCACCAGCCGCTCCGCGTCTGTGGGAGAGACTGGGCTTTCGCCTCGTTACAGTGTCAGAAACGCAGAGCAGCCGCTCTACCCTGTCTTACAGGGTTGCCGTGCGTCAGCATTGACTTGATGGCACTGAGTTTGAGTGAGCCTAGCCTAGAAGAAATAGACACAAGTACATTTGTTTGGTTTTAGATTTAACTCATATTTAATAATCTAAACTTACGCACGTCCCCACCTTTCAATGAGTCACAAACCAGCTAGAGAGCGAGAGAATACAATCAGGGGAAATAACTGGCAGAGTCAGGCGATTGTATTCAGGTTGGGGAATAATATGCTAAAGGACACCTGACACAATGGCTGGAAGATAAGTCTCAGAAAACCCACTGCCATCGAGTTGATTCTCATAGTGATCTCGCAGGATAGACCAGACCTGATCCCTATGGTTTCCGAGGTGGTAAATCTTTAAGGGAGCAAAGGGTCTCACAGCAGCTGGGGGCACGAACTGCTGAATTTGCAGTTGGCAGCCCAACAGGGAATCCCCTACCCTGCCAGGGCTTCGTTGGCAGCTAGTAGGAACTAAAACACCATGAATTCGTTATGCAAATGACAAACTAGACTGGCCAGAGGACAGGATGCCTGTGACCACTTGTTGCTCTTGAGCCAATTCTGACAGCAACCCCCTGCAGAGAAGAACTGGCACCGCAGGAGCTTCTACGGCTGGATTCCAGAAGGTCTTCCTCCCAAGATGGCTCAGCACCACCCAGGGTGATACGAATCTGTAAAGCACGGTATTTCGGGAACAGGTGAAGGAAATAGAACTGTTATACCTGGTAGGGAAGCTTGATGGCTGGGGGGAAGGGTAGTTGCCTTTTAAAATCACAAAGAGCTATGCTGTGAATCAAGGGTTAGGCAGTTTGCCCAGGAAGGCAGAATAAACTGCAAGCAAACCCCAAGGGGGCCAGCCATCAAATTCTAGCTAGTCACCTTCAGGAACTAGTCATATGATCGTTTGTCAGCCTAAAGATCTCTCGGAATATCACCCCATCCTCTGATCCTAACACTTCTGATGTTAGCATAACTCATTTGCTCTGGGATCCACAAGGATGCAGGAGCTCCCGGTACTGCTAGCCACACTTTAAGAACCAGTACCTGACATTAAGAAAAGCAAAGTGATACCATGGTGCTGATGAGCTGGGGTCAAAAGAAATTTGTGCTCCACCCGTTACCATGATGTGTAAACTCCACGGACAAGTGACTTTATTTATGGGAACCACTAAGAAGCCCAGGTCCTACCAGTCTACTGCATCACCAGCTGCAGTGCAATAAAGTCCTGTGGTGGTGGTTGTGTGTGGTCGAGTGCATCCCAACTCACACCAAGCCCATGGGACACTGTTGAACTGCCTCACAGGGTTTCCTACGCTGAGATATTTTTGCAGATCACTAGGTCTTTTCTCCCAAGGAGAAGGTGCTGGTTTTGAACTATTGACCCTTCACTAAACAGCCAATCGCTTAACCATTGTACTACTAGGGCTCCTTAGAAAGGTCCTAAGCCTCTAAAAGGAGTTTTGGTGGCACAATGGTTAAGCACTCTGCTGCTGACTTAAAGGTTGGCCATCTGAAACTACCAAATGCTCCACAGGAGGAAGATATCACAGTCTATTTCAATTAAAACTAAAAAAACAACAACAACAAATCCATGGAGTTGACAGGGTATAACTGCCCCTGTGAGTTTCCAAGACTGTAGCTCTTCAGGAGAATAAAAAGCCTCATCTTCCTCCTGTGGAGCAGCTGGTGGTTTCAAACTGTTGACCTCATTGTTAGCAACTCAGTGCCTAACCTGCTATGCCACCTAATGGGCCAGGTCTACTTTGGCCTACAGGGTCACTAAGAGTCACAATAAACTCACCAGCAGCGCTTTGGGTTTGGGTTTGGTAAGCCACTAAAGTGTGTGAACATTCTACCTGGGACTAGAGGAAGACAAGTGAGGCATCCACCGCTGGCACATTTAAGAGAGCCCAAAAAACCACCATCCCAAGGGAAACGCTGTTTCAGTAGAACTAAAGATTTCACTAGAATAGTTTCTGGAATAAAATCTATTTGGAAAAAAATAAAACCCAAATGAACAAAAAGTCAACATTTAAATAGAGACAGGATCGATAATAGTGGCCTGCCAAGTCACATTGAAACCTGGGGCAAAAGAAACTCGGTCATACTTAGCCTGGTTTATCTAAAACATTGGTATTTTGCTCACCATAGAATTTTACATTAATTTTGATGTCTTAACATATTGTATTAAAATATTCTTTATCTTGATAACTGAGTTGTAGGCACTCCTTTAAACTTTCTGCCTGAAGTAAATGCTTTCCTCACTTTAGCATACTCCCAGCCCCGAATAAACTAGTATGGGAAAAATATTTAGTAGAATGCCTATCATACGTAGCTACTATTATTTATGAGAATTATATTTTTATCAATATATAATAATTCAAAAAGTTCAAGGAGTAGAGCCCATATCCAGAGGCTACTAAACTATAGGAATACCTTCCCTAAACCACCTGCTAAAGGAAGTCAGCTCTCCAGCGAATTTCCTCATAGCCAAATCTAGAGAGAGTTTATATAGTCTCTCTGTATAGAGGTAAGAAAGAGGCAAATTGAAGAACTAATCTTTGCAACTAGACAACAAAATATAAATGCAGTTGATTACAATAAACAAATGCTTTAAAGTGTCTCTTTTTTTGAGATATACATACACAAAAGATGAGAGCAACACAGCAATATTTATTTCATCACTTCATGTATCACAACTGAAGTTAATGAGAAATCTCAAGATGCACAGAAGTACCAAGTAGACCAGTGGTCCAAAAGCATTTGCCCAAGTGTACCCTGCAGGCATTTAGGACAGTGTGTGCATACCTGGACTTCCACCCTCATGCCATTTCACCCTGCTGCTCAGCTGTGATTTCTGGCATGGTTCAACATGTAAAATCGCCATGCCACGTATCTCACCTGCGCAGGGACTGACACAACTGGAGTAGCCGAGGACTCCACGGCACTGCTCATTCTGGCAGGAGGCGGGCAACTGTTCGCTGCATAGTAATTTCGGAGCTTCTTACCATGATTTTTACCCTAGAAGTGAAATAAAATGAGTAATCACAAGAACATTTTGTCAAAGTAAATTAATGTAACCACTTTAAAAATAAAAACAACATTAATTACATTTTATTCTTTCATATGGTCACAGCATTGGGAGTACAGCTCACTCCCTAGATTTTATTACTTTTCTCTTTTTTAAGTGTGCATTTCTCAACTAAAAAAATAAGTCTCAGCCCAGACAGCTTTACTGGAGAATTCTGCCATCTATCATTCAGAGAAGAGATGACTCCAATTCTAGTCAAACTATTCCAGAACATAGAAAAGGGAAGAACACTCCCTAATGCATTGTATGAAGCCAGCATAGCCCTCACACCAACACCTGGTAAAGGCATTTTTAAAAATTAAAAATCCATATTCCTCATGAATGTAAATACAATAATGCTCAATGAATTCTAGCTTCAAAACTCAACAGCATACAATCATACATCATTATCCCATTAGATTTATACCAAAGAAGGGTCTCGGAGAGGAGAAGACTGTAACTTTTTAAGGGAGTCAAAATCCTCATCTTTCTCTCATGGGACAGCTGGTGATTTCAAACTGCCAACTTTGCCATTGGTAGGTCCACTCAACTCATGACCACCTCACCACCAGAGCTCCCCTACTAACAACTCCATAGATGAGACAAAGAAAAGGATTCATCCAAGTGGCGGGATGTAAGATCAACTCACAAAAATCAGTTGGGGTTCTCTAACAAAGAATTCCAACAAGAACAATAAGAACATAATACCATTCCAACAGTCCTCAAGGGATAAAATACCTAGGAATAAGCCAGACCAGGGATGTAAAAGATATATACAAGGAAAACTATAAAACACGACTCCTCAAAAAAGGAAAAACATTCTAAACTCATGAACTGGAAGACTTAGTATTGTGAAAATGTCACTGATACCCAAGCAACCTATAGATATAATAATCCAAATTCAATAGTCATAATCTAATACTCGTAATCCAAATCCCAATTTTTTAAATGAAAAGGAAAAACTAATGTCCAAATTTATATAGCAACTTTAAAAAGCTACGGCATTACTAAAGAAAAACAAATAGGAATTCTCCTACTTCCCAATCTCAAAATTTGCTACATAGCCAGAGTAATCAAAGCAGTTTAGTAGTAATTCAATGACCAAGTCAGACCAATGAAATAGAATTTAGTACCAAAAAATAAATCCAACTATCTACAGGCAGCTGATCTTCAACAATGAGTCAGTCTGTTCAATGGGGAAGAAACCGTCTGAGTTAAAGTTTATTGTGCCAACCTGGCCGATAAACACACATGGGGTTAAATGAAGGGCAGAGAGATAAATGGCTTGGTGAGCCTCGCCCTTCTAATTCTCAGGTCTCTTGCTTTGTGATGGTCGGACCAGGGTGCAGCTGCCTTAGCTAGTTCCCTGTTTCAGCAAGGCTCACTTCCTGCAAGACATCCCCAAGAAGCCACATGGACCTCCCCAATGCAGTCTTGGGTGCTGGAGCAGCCCTGTGGCGACCCCTGCCAGCGCTCAGATGCTTACACACTCACTGATTGGGCTTTCCTCCTGTAGTGGGCATCATATTGTGTGTTTTGTGAGCTGGAGGAGGACTTTGTGATTTGGTGTCAGGCATATGGGTTAATGTTGGACTTGTGAGCTTGGGCAGCACTGGGTTGGAATGTTTTCTTGATGTGCACTTAACCTTTATATAAAACTCTCTCTTATACATGAGTTTCTTTGGATTTGTTTCTCCAAAGTACCCAGACTAATACACCGTCTTTTCTAACAAATGGTTGAAACAAACTGGATACCTATTTGCAGAAAAGTTAAACAGGATCCATATCTCACACTCTACATAAAAAATAGAACAAGGATCCAAATGTTAAAGCTACAACTACTAAGTTCCTAGAACAATGTGGTGGAAAATGGCCGTTGTTTCTGCTGCTTGGTGCAATCCGCAATCCAGTTGATTCCAGCTCATGTACAACAAGATATAATGCCTGGTCCTATGCCATTCTCATGACTGTTGCTCTGTTTCAGCCCAATGTTTCACCTGCCGCATGAATCCATACCTGCCTCTTTTTCATTGACCCTTCACTTCACTAAGCACGATGTCTTTTTCTAGAGACTCATCTCTCGTGAAAACATGTTCAAAGTATGTCTTCCTAGTTGCCATCCTAGTTTCTTAGAAGCATTCTGGTACTTCCTCCAAGACAGATTTCGTTGTTCTTCTGGCAGTCCACGGCACTTTCAATATTCTTTAACAAAGTGAGGGTACCTAATTTTTGATAGAAATAGTCTATCAAACACAACTAAAAAATGCACAAACAACAAAAGATTAATTAGGTAACTGGAACCTCCTAAAAATACATGCTTATACTCAAAAGATTTTAGCAAAAGAATAAAAAAAGAACCTCCAGACTGGGAAATTTTTCCACAACATATCTGCTGAGGTCCCAATTCCTAAAATATATAGAAACTTCTATAACGCACAAAACAATCAGAAAAAGACATGAACAAACAATTCACCAAAGAGGATACTCAGGCAGCCAACAGACACATGAACAGATGGTCATGATCATTAGCCATTGTTGCTGTTGTTAGGTGCCATCAAGTCATTTGTGACTCATATCAACCCTACATGCTACAGAATTCAACACTGCCTAGTCTTAGGCCATCCTCATCATATTATTATGTTTATGCCTGTTGTTGCAGCCACTGTGCCACTCTATCCCCTTGATAGTCTTCCTCTTTTTTGATGACTCTCCACTTTATCAAACATCATATCCTTTTCCAGGGATTTGGGGTCTCCTGGTAACATATCCAAAGTATGTGAGATGAAGTCTCACCATCCGTGCTTCTAATGAACATTCTGGTGTACTTCTTCCCATTTGCTTATTCTTCTGGCCGTCCATCGTATTTTCAATATTCTTAGCCAGCACCATAATTCAAATGCTTAATTCTTTTCAGTCTTCCTTATTCACTGCATAACTTTCAGATGCTTACAATACAATTTAAAATATCATGGCTTGGTCTGGCACACATCAGTCTTCAAACTGACATCAAAATTACAATGTGATATTTTCTCTTGGAAATCATCAAAGAAAAATGCGTTCTATGAGTACACCTCTCTTGACTTTTTCTAATAGTGCTAACATATAATATTTGGTTAATCAATTTGTAGATAGGAGACACTTTTATTATTTGGGGTGATGAGAAAGGCAGTATCAAATATGGGTGAAATGTGAATTACTTGACTTAAGTAAGGTTAGGAAAAATTGTGATAAATGCTATAACATACAAAGTATTGCAACAACAGTAGTAACCAAAATATGCATGGTTACATAGATGCATATGTACAGATACATGTGTATAGGAAGACATGCATGAGTACTGCACATACATATAAAGGTATATCTTAGGCACATATTTATGTGTGTTGCATATATAGTCAGATGTATAATAGTTCCTAGGGGAAACAATTATTAAAGTTATCCAAACAGCTCACAAGATTAATTCACTTGCTTGAAAGGCTTAGTTCCATAGTCTCATGTGACAATCCAGTCAATTAGTATAACACAGCTCATAAAATTAATAAGATAATATTCTATAGCCTAGTTTGAGAAGTAGCATGCAGTGTCCCTAAAAGCTTGCCATTTAAGACATAACAACTAGTTTCAACTGATCTTGAGTTCAAGGGAAAGAAGGATTCAAACACTTAAAGAAGAACTAGGCCACAAATCACCACCTCTTCTAGCCTGAGAACAGAAGAACTAGATTGTGCCTAGCTACCACTACTAATAGCCTGTCCAGGGACACACACAAAAAGATCTTGGTTAAATTAAGAAAAGCATGTAAATAAAATTCAAATTCATTAAAAAGGCCACTACCTGTCATCTAGCAGTTGGTTGTACTGTGGTGACTTGTATATTGTTGTGGTGCTGAAAGCTATGCCACCAGTATTTCAAAGACCAGCAGGGTCATCCTGGTGGAGATTTTTCAGCAGAATTTCCAAACTAAGACAGATTAGGAAGAAAGTCCTACCAGTCTACTTCTTTACTTTTAAAAAATGACCAATTAAAACCTATGAATAGCAGTGGAACACTGTCTGCTATAGTGCCAGAAAAGGAGTAGCTGAGGTTGAAAAGAAGATACCTGAAATATGACTACAGCAGAGTTACTTCCTCAAAGTAGAGTTGACCATAATAAGAAGGATGGAGTAAGGCTTTTGGAACCTTCTTTTGCTGATGTGGTGTAACGCAAAATGAAAAAAAACCACTCCAAACAGCCATTAATAATCACAATGTGAAATGGATATGAAATATGAATCTAGGAAATTTTAAGTTGAAAAAATGAAATGGTACACACAAAGATGAGTATTCTAAGCATTAGCAAGCTGAAATAGACTAATATTGACCATTATAATTGGATAATCATATGGTCTACTATAATAGAAATGACAAATTGAAGAATGGTGTTACATTCACCACTAAAAAGGACATTTTAAGATCTATCCTGAAGTACAGCTCTATCAGTGATAAGGTTATATCCACATAACTACAAGGCAGACCAATTTATATGACTATAATTCAAATTTATGCACCAACCACTAATGCCAAAGATGAAGAAATGTATTACAAATTGTACAGTATGAAATTGATCAAACATATAATCAAGATGTATTGGTAATCACTGATGATTGGGATTCAAAAGTTGGAAACCAAGAGGAAGAGCCAGTAGTTGGAAAACACAGCCGCAGTAACAGAAGTGAAGCCTGAGATCACAGGCTAGAATTTTGCAAGACCAAGCACCTACACAATGTAAAGAACCTGGTGAACAACATGAAAGGCAATTATACACATTGACATCATTGGATGAAAAAACAGGAATCAAACTGACTACATCTGTGGAAAGAGACACAAAGAAGTTCAGTATCGTAAGTTAGAGCAAGACTAGGGGCTGACTATAGAACAGGCATTCAATTGTTCACACACAAGTTCAAGTTGA